ATTTTTACGCCCCAAGGCACAACGGCATCCCATTTTCGCGCCCCGAGGTGCAGCAGCAGCCTGTTTTTGCGCCCCGCAGCCGCGGCACTAGCACAAGTGAGGGAGTGTGCGTGCACACGTGTGCACACTGCCAGCCTGTCCCGCGGCCCAGTGGCCAGCAGGCCACGGCCCGCTACTGGGCTGCAGCCCACAAGTTCAGGACCCCTGCTCTTGAACACCCCATAGTTATGTCAAAACATGACTAGAAACACAATATGAAAGAGGCTGAAGAAAGACTTGGCTCATTTTATTAACACTAAGATATGATCCATGCCAGTTCTCCAATTACTAAAACTTTTGCCTAGACTCTGCAAGGTGTTGTAACTTTTTTCTCCAATATTTTTCCTTAAATCTCCTCTTGCAAGTATTTTCTAACTACCATCCAAATGGCAAGAGGTTTTCAAAAATAGTAGCGCTAAGTTGCCTAGCAACAGTATACGTTACATTTCCCTATGTTTAATCTGGACACCTTATGGTAAAGATACTTTTCAGAAGCTGTTACAAGAAAAGTATGTAAAATTGTCCTCTGTATATTTACAGTAGTGGCCAAATTGTAGAAACCTTTTGGGAAAAGTGTATTTTTGAGGTTTGATGGCTAATAACACCATTTATTTTTGGAGTAGTACCATAAAATTATATATCAATGGAAAGATAATTTAATCAAGAATGTAATGCAACAAAATTTGTTTAATTATCTGTGCTGTATTCTATGAAAAGGTATGCCGAATAACCAGAAAAAGGAAGCACAACTTGCTTAGATTGATATCAGGTAGCTTTCTTTCATCTGATTGTAGCCAATGACCATGAGTGTTTAGAGAGCCAATCAGGTGTCATCTTATTTGGGCAATGAGCCAACCAGATCACAGTAGGATTCAGTTATTGATGTCATGTATTGAAGCTGAGAGGAAGACATTTGTCAATGTGTTATGTGATCGCTATCAAGTTGGTTGGGGTTTTTTGTATTCTTTCATTTAGTGAGCTTGTAAAACATAATAAAATTAAAGTAATGGTGCAAAGAGTTGACTGGTTGCCCAGAAAGTGATGTAAAATAGTATTATTAAATGAACAAGGCTACAGTTATAAAGAAATTAGAAGAGAAACTGGTGGAAACTTAACCAAAGGTGGCATTTCTACTGTACACTTTTCCCAAAAGGTTTCCACAATTTTGGAAACCTGTACCTCTTCGATGTAAAATGGTCCAAGAAATCAGACCTTATATAAATTCTGCAATACAGGCATCAGAAGGCAAGCCTCTCTGAACTGCTAAAACACAGACTAACCTTACTTGGGAGCTACAGACTATTGCTCTTTTCTCCTGCCTTCTTATGAAGCTGCTACAACAAAGTTATAAAATTCTGTTTATTTTGCAATTCATTTTTAAAGACTCTCGACTATTACTAGATTCATCTTAATTGTTATAGTCAGTTGTGAATTCAAACCAAACGTATTAGTCATTCAAGCTTTCATCCTAACAGAGTCAATAACCCTTTCAACTAGGCATACAACCTAGGAAAATACAAAGAACTTGGAAAGTACAGCAGATAATCAAAAGAATGCAGTTTGTTCTTTTAAGCCAATCCTCCAAGAGCTTAAAAATCTCAATTCCCATCGAATTCAGATATAATATAAGTGGAAGCTAACAGTCAAGCTGAGCAAAATCCTCCATCGAAAAAACATAAACCCTATTTGTTTAGGGAAATGGCTGAACTGGTAGTCTTTGAGAAACACTGTCAACTAAGCAACTTTAGTATCAGATTCCAACATACAATAAGTCTAATCTCTATTATCGCACATTAATTTGTTTGATTTGAGAGTATACCTTTATCCCAGTAATGATCTACTGGATCAATTCTAATAACCTCTGAGATGGCCTAAAGCCAGGAGGAAGCCTTTTAGCCCTGAAACAGCTGTTAAGCTGAAGGGAGCTGAAAGGAGGGAAGCAGATTGTCCACCCAATATAATATCTGAAATATAATATTATTTGTAATTGTCAAGTATATTTTTGTGCAGTTTCTACAAATGGCAAGCATTTGTTCATAACTTCAGAAAAATAATGTAAAAAAAAGTGGGATGAATCAGTTTATAGAGTAAAGTGTCCAAGTGCTTTCCTTTGATGTCTGTTAATAAATTATACCAATTATTGGTTAATACTTATGATTAAAAAGACAAAGATTTCATAGAACTAGTATTTTTTTATTAATTTTTTTTTAAAAAATTTTTAAAATTTTAAAAAAGTTCCCTTCCCCAAACCCTCCCAACCCACCCTAACCCTTCCCCAACCTTCCCAGAGCTGAATACAGGCTTAATTAAAATATGAAAGAAAAATTTTTAAACACAAATAAACCATATACAAATTTGGTTACAATAATTAAACAAATTATAAAATACTTTAACACCAATATTTAAAAAGCAGAAAGAGAAAAAGAAAAGAAACAAGAAAAAGAAGAAAAAAGAAAAAAAAATTTAAAAAAAAGAATATCTAAAAAATATCTTAAATTTTAAATATAAATTATTCAAAAGCTAAATAATATTTTTTATATCATACTTGTATTGTATAAAATTTATCCATCTTTTCTATACCAAAAGGTACTTCTCTTGCAATTGATCTTTCAAGAAAGCCGAAATCTTTGCCATTTCCGCTAAGTAAGAAACTTTAAGAAACCATTCTTGCAAAGTAGGCAAAGATTTGTTCTTCCAACATTGCCCTACTAACAACCTAGCCGCTGTAATTAAATTTAACATCAATATAGTTTCTTTACTGTCACAATCGGAAACAATACCCAACAAAAACAATTGTGGAGTAAATTTTATCCTTCTTTTAAAAATTGGTATGTGAACTGGAAGATACCACATTGCCAACCTTTTGGGGGTAGTAAGGAGAAGGAACAAGGCCAGAAGGGGTTTCAAGAATGCTCTTTATTTGTATAGGGTATGATAGCAGAATTTTGAAAGTCTCTATCATGTCTTACATAAAATAAAGATTTTTGTTGTTGTTGTTGTTGTTGCTGCTGCTTCTTTCATGTGCTTTGTTCTTCTTCAGGACTTAGTAATCTTTTCTCAAATTCTTCAAAAGTTGGTTCATCTCTTTCCCACTCTCAGTGCCGGCTTATTCCAACATTTGCCCAATCTAGGTCGAGGGTTCCCAATCCCCGGTCCATGGACCGGTACCAGGCCATGGCATGCCAGAAACCAGGCCAAGCAACCACAATTGTAAACAAGCAAAGCCCCATCTGTGGGATGCAGGAAGCATACAGAACCATGCCCCCTCCAGTCAGCGTATAAACCTCTCTCCAAGATTGGGGGCCTCTGTCCTAGGGCACTGGTGACTACTAATGGAATGATGGCAGTGTGCCAGCCTTGCTTCATAAATGAATGAATACACACACACACACACACACACATACACATTCCAAAAAGATTCATGCCTGGTTTACAATATCAAGCATAAAACATAAGTAAACATCATACTATACTTGTACCAGTGTATTCTTTCTTAGGAATTACTTTAAACTCTACAAAGTTTGACTGGGATTATAAAATATTTTTGGGGATTAGTTTGCCTTCTAATAGGGATGATTTGTGATTGGCCGTGCATACTCTGGGGGACATATTGTAAACAGGCACCCACTACATGTTCTCAAAATCCATAAATGTACTCTAAGATCAAGGTTGTATTCCAATATACTAAAGACATCACCCAGTAGGATTTTAGACAGATTTTAGTTTTTGTTCTTAATTAGAGTTACCATCTTTCAACTTAAAAAAATATTCTGGAAAGGAGATGTTTATGTTAATATACTGCACAAAATTTATTTATTTATTTTTATGCCTCTACAGCAGTACAACTGCAAATGGCTCATTAAATCATTCGTAGCTTCTTTCGTCACTCCCACCAGAGCTAACAAGCCTGAGGCATTATTTCAAAATCAACAATCTCTGCCACATTGTTTTATTCATTTTCTTAGATTTATATCCTACCTTTCCTCCAGGAGCTCAAGGCAGCTTACATGGGAATTTCCTTTATTTTTATACCCACAACAGCAATTCTGTTAAGTAGGTTTGGGATGAAAGAGAATGATTCAGCCAAAAATCACCCAGTGAATTTCTATGTCTTAAGGTGAACTCGAACCTGGATTTTCCTGGTCCTAGACAAAGTTCTTAATCCCATGGTTTCTCATAACACACTTAAATCTGTGTTTTGATTTGAGCTAACAGTTCTCTGTCACTTACAGTGGTGTTCAAAGAAAAGGGAAAAGAAAGGAATTGTAAACAGCAACTTAGATGCCACCCCCTCTGTCATTCAGGGTTGATGCTCAGGGAAGCGTCATCCTTTTTCCTCTGTCCTGAAATGTCCAAGATTGAAAACCTGAATATTTCAGAATATTTTTTTCTTCCTGTCAGAGGTTTAGCTAGGACAAAAAGACTTCATTTTCCAAGGATATCCAAACATAAAAGCATGTATGAAACTGAGCTTTGTCCTATTCTTTCTCTATATTTATTACAATTATTTATGTCCAGCCTAGCAGGCCAACAGAGTAATCCAAACAGTGGTAAATAAAAACACAATGGATGCTCTTTTAAATCAAGAAGATGGTGAAAGAGAAAAAAAGGAAAGCCCCTTTTCTGTCTTCCAGAATCCTGTACGTAAGGTATTTAGTGCAAAGGAGGCTATGTAGGGTAAAGGAAAAGCCAGATGTGCTAGTTGTCATGTTCCTTCTATCCTATCTTGCATTGATATGACAGTTCATAAGTTCATTAAACCTCAACTTGCCAAGTCATTTGAGCCATTTAAAAAAAAACAGATGGAAAAATCTCTCCAAAGCAAGATTGCAAACCACAGTTTAGGAGATAAGGAACCCAACGTTTGCTTACTGGTATGCAATTATTCCAACCTAGTGTACAATTAAGGAACTCAGCCTTCACACAGATCCAAAGTTAATAATAATAGTTGTGATACTTACTGAACAATTTTTATCTGCATTCCTTTTCCAGTGCTTTTTCTCTACTTTCTTTGCTGCAGTTGAATTCAAAGATGCATGAGTTGGTATACGAGGGTTGAGAGCTAAAATATTCTGCAGATATATAAAAAAAAAGATGTTTCCTTTTTTAAAAGTTGAAAAGCAGAGAAAGAAACAATTAAATATTTCTGCTTACAAAACTTCAAAGTTCCCAGCTTCTGTTTGTTTAAAAAGAAGGAATTTAGCAATGTAAAGTAGATGTTTGAGTCAATTATATTAACATGATTTCTTATTAATCTATTAAACTATTAATGCTCCCTAGCCTTTCTTACACAAATGAGGGTTCTATTCCAGTAAAAGTTAAGAATTATATTGTTTTGCCAGAATAAAATTAGCTCTGCAATTATTCTTTTTTAAATTTGCTCTCATAATTTAAAATTCATATATATATGCATGCTCCGTGAATGAAACTCTGCATATAACACTGACTATAATTTACAAATGACATCAAATTAGGGGGAATTGTTAGCATTTTAGAAAATAGACTCAAGATTCAGAAGACCTTGAAAGATTTGAACACTGGGCCCTATCCAACAAAATGCAATTCAATGGCGAGAAAAGTAAGGTCCTGCACTTAGACAAGAAAATGCACGATAGATGGTATCTGGCCCAATAGTAGTATCTATGAGACAGATTTAGGTATTACAGTGGACTGCCATTTAAGTATGAGCCAGTAGTAGTGTGCTGCAGCTGCCAAAACCATCAACACACTCCTAGGCTGCATCAGCAGAGGGATAGTATCAAGATCATGTGAAGTGATAATACTGCTTTATACTGCACTAGTGAGGTCACACTTGGAATACTGCATCCAGTTCTGGTCACCATGATACAAAAAAGATGCTCAGACCCTAGAACAGTGGTGGCAAACTTAGGGCACGCGTGCCAGAGGCAGCACGTGGAACCATCTCAGTGGGCATGCGCCATCGCCCCAGCACACATGGTCTCTAAAAGTTCACCATCACTGGCCTAAGGCCAGCCAGCCTGGAGCCACCATTGGGGAGCCCACCATCCCACCCGCCAGAGACCCCCTGGATCTCCTCCAACCCTGCCCGACTCCCACAGGTGTCCCTCCCCATAAGCAACATCAAGATGGCCATGCCCACCCGGCCATGCCCACCCAATCTGCCATGACTACTGCAACCACACCCCTCCAATGGCCACGCCCACCCAGTCTGCCAAGCCCACTGTAGCTGCACCCGAGTGGGCCACACCCACCCGGCACCCGGCGATACATAAATGGGTTTTGGGTTGAGTTTGGGCACTTAGTCTCTAAAAGGTTTGCCATCACTGCCCAAGAAAGAATATGGAGAAGAGCAATGAGGAGATAGGGAGTCTGGAGGCTAAACCATACAAGGAACTGTTAAGGGAACTAGATATGTCTAGTCTAACAAAAAGAAGATTAGGGTGAGAGGTCTTCCAATACTTGAGGGCTATCACAGAAAATAGGAGATTGACTTATTCTCCAAAGCACAAGAAATAGAACAGAACAAGAAGTAATGGGTGGAAGGTCTTTAAAGAGAGATCCATCCTGGAACTAAACAGAAATTTCCTGACAAAAAAAACAGTCAATCAGTGTAATGGCTTGCCTCCTGGAGTTTTGCGTGCTCCATCAGTGGAGATTTTCAAGAAGAGATTAGGCAACCATATATGCAAAACGATATACAATATCCTGCTTGAGCAGAGGTCCCTTCCAACTCTATGATTCTGCTTTCAACACTGTTTTATAACACTGTTCTATAGGTTCTGCACTGTACCTCTCATTAAAGGCAGACAGTTCAGTTGAAAATTACCAAAATGCTGTACAATAGTTTCCATCTATTTAAAGAGCTTTGTGCAACCCAGAACAGAGAACTGTGTCACTGGAAATACTTATTAAATACTGAAGACTCCACACTCTCTTATCAGCTTACTCAGCAGCATGGGATCATGCCAATTTTGGTCCAATATTCTGAACATGTTGGCAAATAGTGTGCCAATACTTTCGGTGGTTTGTTAATTTGTTTTGTTCATTTGGTATATTGGTTGATTGGTTGGTCAACTGACTAACAGATTTTTCGCCTTCAAGTCAATGTCAACTCTTTGTGACCATGTAGATTTTCTCCAGGAGGATCTGTCCCCAGATAATCCATTGTTGTATGTTTTAATTTTGTGTAATTTTATATACTTTTTATATTCTGATATTGTACTGCGTACCACCCAGAGTAGCTTTTTGAGGAGATGAGCAGTCTAGGTAATCTATTTCTGATACTCATCCACAACCAAAGCTGGCTTGATGGGAAGAAATTCAGTTTCACCCTTCAAAATTACGATTGTGATTATTTGTTGCATACTTGTTTTGACTGGATTTGGCATTTTTATCCACCTATCAAGCTATTATTATTATAGTTCATTGCACAGTCAGCCAGATGTTCAGATAGGATTTGGCATTTTTGTCTACCTATCAAGACCTTCCCGAGGACTGGGATAGGCAGATGTGGATGGTTTTGGTGTTAAAAGTATTGTCATAGAATGTAAGCTTTTCTGAATAAAGCTGCCTTTTGCAATTGACTCAGGCTGATTTTGTCAATGCCAACGTAACTGTTATTTTTATTTTTCTAAAATCCAAATGATCTTAATATACGGTAAGCCTAGCTATTGTTACCATTTATGCTTCCTTTTTATTAAATCTAAAATTTAGCCTCTCTTACTTAAGTTACAGGATTATGAAATTGCTAAACCTTTCAACTAGTTATTTGTATTATAAAATACTTTGTATAAATTTGTTCATTTATATTACCCAAAATGATAGATTTGTAGCCTAAAATTCCATAAAGTTATATGCAATCTTATAAAAAAAATAAAAAATCTTCTAAAATAGCTGACCTTGTAACAAATTTAATGGTAAAGCAACACCAGTAAAAGGGGGAGGGGGGGAAAGGGAGGATGATGATGATTCTGGAATAGGTATTTCATAATGTTTTCATTTTAAGTCTTGAATTTTCTAGGCATCATTCAAGGAGAAAGAATATGTTATTTTTTTCCAAATCCAATACTTGCAAAATAAAAGTCTGTTTAAGATTAAGAATATTGCCCATTTGCAACAGGGAATGATTTCAGAAAAAGGACAACATGAAAATTGTAGTAGACACATTTGTAAATGTCCTTTTACATAAAGCAACATTTAGAAGTTATTTAGGGTGCACAGCACTGGTTTAGGAGAAGGCAATCTGGATCTTTCCCAAATTAGCTTTTGTATTAGAAGCCAAGTAAGTAGAAAACAAATTATACCAGAATATAGTATTTGTCCATCTAATCTAATATTTTCCAATAGACGATAAGCTAGTACGTATCCAGATGATATGGATGTCAACCTCCCTCAACCCCAATCAGTAGGTAAGAGACGCTGCAGGTAAAAAAAAAATCCAGGTGATGCAAAAACTAATTACTTTTGGTCTACTCTAATGACCATCCAAGAGTCCTTTCTTGCTGGAAGAACAGGAAATGACATTGTATCTCAGTGTGAAATACCACTGTGCTCATCATTTGAATTGAGGTGGCAGATACCTCTCATAAATAAAGAAATCTTCACCATAAATTAGCGTGGGAGACAAGTTAATAAAAAAAGAAAAAAGCAATCTTACAAGATGTAAGATAGGCATGACAAAACACGCAGCACATTTTATTTCAAGAAACTGCCTCTTAACAGGCACAGATTCACATGTTCACCACATCAAAGAAACATGGCTTTCATATGTCTATGAAAACATTCTGTAAGTGGTTTACTAAACGTGAAGATACAAAATGCTTAAAACAAAATACATTGCATGGATAGTATATCTGACAGAGCACCTTAGCTCATTATAAATAATTGCTTTCATAAAGTGTATCTGAATTCTGAAACAGCGTATTAAAAGCTGGATGGCAGAGGAAGGAAAACACTATGTGGGAGAACGGTATTTATTTGTTAAGGAAATAACCTCCATATTGTGCCCTCCAAAATGTCTTCATAAAAACAGTTTCTATGCACTGCCATTTATTCCCAGTATACTGCAGTACATATTACCATTCTAATGCATCCCCCCCCCCAAAAAAATTATTTCCCATTAATTTTACGAAATATTTGCAATGCATTTTATTATTATTTTCACCTGATTAAAAAAAGTCCTCACACTTCAGAGTTCTATTGCCACCATTCTTCCTGGGCCAATCCAGCCTGATTATATAAGGAAATGATCAGAAATGGCTAGAGTAGGGCAAAAATGAAGCCTATGACCCCAAGTTATTAAAATTCAGTTCAGTGTTTGGTAGGAATCATTGGAAAGTTACCGTGCCGTAGTAGAAGTGCAAAGTGAAGGAAGAGCCTTTGCAAGTGAAGGGGGCAAACACAGGGACAGGATGCCTGTTGGAGATATGCGTGAATTCCAATTTAGTTCAAAACATCCTGCCTTTTAAATAAAATATATCAAATGCAGAAACAGATCAATTCAAAGCTATTGCCCCATTAACTCTTCTTTCCATTCAAACCTTCCATCTTCAGGCAAAAAAAAATATAATTGAATTATACCAGTACAAACTGAATACATGCATTTTTTCGCCCAAGATCTTTTTCAATATTCCTGACCCCTTTTCGGGCAAAGTTTTTATTCCATCGTTTCATTGCTTTGTTTTTTTATTTTATTTATTTATTTGGTTTTCACATTCTTTGAACCACCCAACTCCTTCAGAGGCAGTCTGTATTGCCACAGAATGCATTTTAAAACTACCGTGTCTATGATGGTGATCTTGCGTATTTATTTCAGCTTTTTTTTTCTTTTTTAAGTATAGAGTATTTCAAAAAGGTAAGATCAATGAGATCAATAATGTCTGCTTCACTTTTCTTTGGACTACATCTAGGAGTTTCACTGGGATACCTACACTGCCCCGAGCCTAAGAATTTTATCATGAAAAAAGCTAGGCATATTTATTCAATCCCAGATAGACTTCTGTAATCTTAAATCTGTTACTAAAAAGCTAGTAGTCTACAGATTTCATTCATAGGACAAGTCAATGTTAAAGTTTAATCAGCATTAACTATA